AGAGGGAGACTACAACGTAGTGATCCCGACCGATTCTGAGGACGGCATGTACAAGATTCGCGTTGGCCTGTTCGGGGACGACACCATCTACGCATGCTCGCCGTCGTTCGAGGTCGTCGCCGCCGCCGCCGACGCGGCGGGGGCGGCGGGGCTCTGGGTGGACTCGGCGACGTCACTATCGCTGCCCGAGGTCTCGCTTCCCTAGGTCACGAGAACCAACAATCAAAGTGTCCGTTCTTCCGAGATGTGTCGGAGAGCCTGGGCGGGGGGGGGGGCGCGGATTGACTTAAAAAGAGGAGGCTCGGAAGTAGCGAAAACGTGTATATTATGACGAATATTATGACGATGTAGACTTCGGTTCGTCAGCTCTGGACAGATAGATCGGCTTGCTTCCAGAAAATTTTGTGACCGCTTGTTGTTTGTTTCTTCTTGGACCTTCCTTGGAAGGGCACGAAGTCAACACAGGCATCTATCTATCTATCTGGTGTGTGCGTTTGTATTCTGTTTTCGGGTGATTTTGGGTGATTGTGTCTGTTGTTTGTTCCCACGTGTCGTGCTGTGTTTTGATCGTTTGGGGAGTTACGTATTTCCCTGTCAAGAGGTTAGTGGTTTAATTTCGAGCCATTGGCACGCGGAGTGTTGGGTTCCCTCTCACTCAGGGGTGAGTGAACGAACGGTGGCTGACTTCAGATTGGTTGGGGATGCCTCCCGTAGCAGGAAAAGGGCCATAGTCGTTCATTTTCTCGTACGTGGCGTTTGGTTTGTTTGTGTATCCATGTCGTCGCCCTGATACAGGGTATTTTTTGTGCGCGCGTGCGTGGAGTTCTGTTGGCTATACCGTACGTACCGTAGAGAAGCAACACGGTTGGTTATACCTTGCAGCACAACGTACTGGGGTACTGTGCGAATGGCTCGTTCGTATCGTTTGATTCTTGTTGTTGATTCGAGGGGGGTTAGTATTATTTGTTAGTCTGGATAACTTTATTATCTTGTTTTTTGTGGGTGGTGGGTGTTTTCTCTTGGGGAGGGAGAGGAAGATCAGGCGTTGTCGATCATATGCTGTATTGCGTGTTTGTCATTGGTTAGTTAGTTAGATAAAATGCCTACCTGATGAAGCAACGACGATTAATTGTGTTAAAAAGAATTTTATCATTTCAAGCTACTACTACTACTACTACTGCGCTTTTGGCCTGCCTGGTGGCCTCTCTCTGCGGAAAAATGCAGGCTTCGTGGTCCGTGCATGCACATATAGACAGACAAGACAGGCTCTCTTCAGGCACAGACAAGACAGGCTCTCTTCAGGCTCTCTCTGTAACAAGTCCACGCATTGGCATGTGGTATCCGATATACGCCCGCCCGTCTTACCGTGATATTTGTTTTGTCATCATGCCGCCCAGCACGTACATACGTACGTACGTGCGTGTGCTCGTCGTGGTGGTACACGAGGTGGCGGTCATCATCATGATCATGTTTGGCGGCATCGTACCAACCACCACGCACACATTACCTACTACCTGTCTGTTTGCTGAGTTGCACCCAAATCACGGTTGGTTGAAGACACTCAATACGAAGAACATAGCACAACGAACGCTTGACAACGAACCGATGTCTCTTTACGAAGAAGAAGCTGGAGAGAGCTACCTCATCGACGGGTTGTTGCTGTTCCGAGATTATTTTTTCTGTTTTCGACGACAATGATGAGCGAGCCTGTCTCACGTCATCCACAAACAAAAAAGCGCGACATCCACAATGAATAATACAGAGGGAACGCATTCATTCATTCTTCTTATCGACGACGAGCGTCAAACGGAGTGTGTGTGCCGTGTTCGCTGTCGGGGACGACAACGAACGACTGTTCACGGTCCGGTTGTTTTTTTTGTCGTTGCGTCAATTACAGCCGCCACCCTCAAGCCGTCAGCCTTGAACTCGGCGACCCATCCATCCTGCCAATTATCCAGTGCACCTGGGAGCCGTGAGCGGTATAGTAGGTGGAAGAAGGCCCCTCATCATCGTAGAGTGGCGATGAACCCCCCCCGCTAACCCCACCGGCAGACACGTTCCTTGCGATATTCCGTGCCACATTCCGCTCCGCTTTCCTCGCCATGTCCCGTAACAACACGTTCTGTACCACCACCACCTCGCTCGCCGGCCTCGGCCTCTCTCTTCTTCTTGCCTTGAACCTTTCTGTCGCCTTCTCCCATCTCCTTCCTGCTGTGCAGTGTGCGCTAGAGCCCCCCCCCGCCCCCGTTGGTTCTGCCGCCACCACCGTCGTCATCGTCGCCGTCGCCGCTACGGTTTTCCTTGATGATGATGGCGAACTTCGTGTCTCCGCCACCGCCGCCGTATTGGTGATCCTTGATGGCCTCCGTGCCGCCGCCACCGCCGTCGCCGTGCTTGTCACTCTCCCGCTCCAGTCGTAGCTGCTGCTACTTTTTTTGTCACCGGTAACACTTGTAGCGCTCCTCAAAACGTGTGTTTCTCTGCCCTCCTCGCTGCCGCGAGAGGCCTCTGAAATGCCCTGAATGCCGTTGGTAGTGCTAGCAGCGCCGTCCGGACAGGCTTGACTGCCGCTCGCCAAAGCGGCGGTACCACCCGCGCCGAAGGTGGCCCTGTTGCCGCCGCCGATGCCGTCCATCATCATCACGAGGGCCACGCTTACGGCTAAAGGTAGCAGCAACGCCGCTAGCATCGACGGGGCACGGGAGGAACGCGGGGCCGCAGCGAACGCCACGAGGAAGGAGCAATCTTCGCCCATCCAAGCGTACCATGGTCTTCGAATGTTCCAGCCGGAAGGGGGGGGGAGGGGGGGGGAGCCATGTTTTGCATGCCTTAGTTGTTCGACCGTTCATCGCGCATCTTCGAGAAGACGGAGAAGGGGGGAAGGGGGGGGGGTTAATGTATTCGCATGTAGGCCATTCACCTGGTACCCCTACAACGCCGGGACACAGCGATATGCCGGGTTTTCGCCTGTCGACGGGAGGGGGGGGTACATCTTGTATAGGTCTTCTATTTTGGTGTTTGGTGACGTTTCGTGGCAATGGCGACGAGAGCGAAGGAAGGACCCTCCCTCCGCGTCCAGGCATTCCCATGGGATATGCAATGCCGTAGATGTCAAGAACAAGCTACTCCTGGGTGTTTAACCATCTCCCCCGCCTAACTCACGCAGAAAACGAGTCAGTTGTTGTGAAACGCTGCCCACGTTCTTTGCTGGGATTGTTTGTTACCTCGTGTTGTTGTATGGCGAGTAGGTCATCTCGCATGCGCATACCCCCGTGGAGCTGTCGCAGGTCCCGTGGGGGTAGGAGCAGTTGTTGAGGCACTCGAGGTACTGGCAGTATTCCCCGTAGTACCCCGGGGTGCACATGCACCGCGACACTGGGAACTCGACGGAGCACCAGCCGTTGAAGGAGCAATTGTACTGACAGTCCTGCGTTATGTGGGAGTTGGGGTGTTCAGTTACATAGATAGATAGTTGGGCGCTTTTTCTTGCGTCATTTGGCGGAGAACAGCAAGGTTCTCAACTCTGAAAGCACTTAAATCCATTCCGGTCAGTAGTTGGAAGAGTTCTGAGACAATTTGCCAACGAAGCACTTCGACATGGTGAGAAGGTCATCGTCGCAAGTATTTCGCTGAGGTGCTCCTGGTCGTGGTCTGTGCTAGAACCGCTCCTCCTGCCTTCGTACCGTTGTTTGGCGAACAGCAGTTAGTTCTCATATTGTCCGAGAACGGTTGCCTCAGCTCATCACACGCCAAAGTCCCAGATTGATGAGATTGATGACGGTGATAATTCTTGAAGATAGATGTCGTCGAAGATGTGGAAATAATCTCGTTGTTGATATCGAAAGATGACTTTGAAGATGTAGAATCTCGTTCTCGACGAAGTAGTAGCTGTAACTCGTCCAGAGATGAATTTAACAACGAAACGTTGATTTGCGAAACGGATTAGAATTAAGACGCGCCAAACACCCGGTCAGGTAGTAGATGATGATAGTCCTTCTTTGCCGTTAAAGATGTCTCGTCCTTGGATGTGTTTGCTGAAGCCTCGGCCAGGGACTCTCCCATGGTGCTGAAGGAGAACCCGACAGTGGATGGCTCGGGCCCCTGTCGTTATGCCAGGTGGGCGCTGCCGACGTTGGAAAAGTCGATTTGGCCAGCGGACTGAAGCAGCAGCGCCAGGTTCACAGCCTACCCTTGACCAGTAGGACCACTTTGGACAGCGATGCTGAGTGTCAAAACAGCAGGAACTCGGAAGAAACAAGCAAAAAGAGCTCTCAAAGGGTTGGCTGCGAACCTGGCGCTGCTGCTTCAGTCCGCTGGCCAAACCGACTTTTCCAACGTCGGCAACGCCCACTTGGCATAACGACAGGGGCCCGAGCCATCCACTGTCGGGTTCTCCTTCAGCACTATGGGGGAGTCCCTGGCCGAGGCTTCGGCAAACACATCCAAGGACGAGACATCTTTAACGGCAAAGAAGGACTATCATCATCTACTACCTGATCGGGTGTTTGGCGCGTCTTAATTCTAATCCGTTTCGCAAATCAACGTTTCGTTGTTAAATTCATCTCTGGACGAGTTACAGCTACTACTTCGTCGAGAACGAGATTCTACATCTTCAAAGTCATCTTTCGATATCAACAACGAGATTATTTCCACATCTTCGACGACATCTATCTTCAAGAATTATCACCGTCATCATTAATGTTTGTGTGCTTGTCACCTGTTGCCTGAATGAGTTGTTTTACTGTTTCAGTCGTTAACTTCTCGACTTCGCATCATCGCTGGTTAAATAGCCACCTAGGCTAGGTTGAAAGTGTAGCACTTTTGGTTTGTGAAGGAAAACGATATCAGTACTCTGCAAGCACATATGCATAGATGTATATATGTAATAGTGCCAAGCACCTTTGCTAGGTACGATCCTTCGTGGTTAACGCATCAAATGGATTTATTTCTTTTGCTTATTTCACCTAGATTAATGCCACTTTCATTGAGGGGGCATGTTATTGAAGTATTGGTCCTGCACTAATCAATGTTCAGCAGCATTTCTCTCTATCAGTTTATTCGTAGGTAACGCATCTGTATGCAGAGGAATTACCTCTGTAGTATTTTCTGCTCGAGGGATCGCGTACCTCTCACTCTCTCTCGTTTGATCCTTCCGGGTTGTCATGGCATCATAACTGCACTGGTCACCTCTGAGAAGCAGCCGCCGTCTGGGCTCCTGCATACTCTGCGGTTTATATCTGTGTGTGTTGGCCACCTAAGCGCCAGCTTTCCAATATCTCAACATCTTCTTCGCACTGTGGAAGGACTCTCGTCTTCCAGGCTACCCTCTCGCACGTGTCATCACCTCGACTAACGTCGACTACACAGCCTTTAAGCCACCGTGCCAGGGTAATACACAAAAAAAAAACGTACTACAGATACTAATTAATCGCCCGAGGTACCTCTTCACCCGCTAATTTGAAAATAAGTTTGTTTCAAATCAGCGTCTCGGAACCTTTACCTTTTTCGAAAAGAGACCAGAAACTGAATTTGATAGAAATCTATGTAGGGAAACCGGTTTCGAAGGGTTCATTTTCGAATTTTCGGTTTTTTATTAATCGACCGACGCTTAGGGCAGGGTTTCGAAGATTTGTGCTACGTTTAGAACGCCCGTTACGCCCATGTATTCCCAGTCATGCTGAACCACCCCGCATTATTTCGAAAATACCCAAGAATGTAGTTCTACTTGCAACGGGCCCGACGAAATTCTCAACTTCCTCGACCGAAAAGGGTTCGGGCCTCCCAGAGAAGAAGGAGCTACAGTATTGTAGTTTCCTGTGCGGTTGTACTGTAGCACTGTACCTTGATGGAGCAGTCGTCTCCGATGAACGGCGGCGCGCACTGGCACGTCCCGAACCCGTCGCAGATGCCGTGGCTCTCTCCCGGGCTGGTCACCGAGCACTCGGAGCGGGAGACATCCTCGGTTACGTACGTATCGCCGTCCTGGTGGCTCCAGCCGGCCTAGATATTATTCGGTTTGTGTCCATTTTGCAGTAGAATGTTGTGTGTGTGACGGCCCGCTCACAGGGAACGTCGAGGCTCAGAGGTTTGTAAAGTAAACGTGGCACAAAAAATTGGTTCAAGCCGCTGGCACCGGCACACTCAATGCCATATGGTAGCTTAGCAATATCATCCTGTCCCCACCGTTTGACAGTTTCAAACGAGCGAACGTAAGGCATTTAGGGGCTCGCTGACGATAGATAAGTGTTTGAATAGATACAGCACGTTGTGCAGTGTGAATAGCGGTGATTGTTGACTTTGTTGCCCGGACCTGTCACATACAATACGAGGTGCCATGCTTACCAACAGGTGTGGGAGTGTTTTAGCTTATTCTTTGTCGTTCTTCGCAAAACAACCTCCAGGAGGGTGGTGTACGCCGGCCACAATTTCGGAGACAGAAGCATGCGTTCCGCACCCCTGGGAAAACGTAGAACTTACTTTGGGGCTGTGATCGGGAGAGACACGACAAACACGTCTTGCGTTTAGAAGAACATTCATTGAGGAAAAAAGCAAACAAAGAAGCCAACGTTACGCGCGCTCGAGGGTCGGGAGGGGAGGCGTAATTATGTTTCGCATGCCTTATATAGTTGTTGGACCATTGGTCACGCGTCCTCGAGAGAGGGAGCATTCATCCCACAGCATCGTGTCTCAAAAATGTTGTCCCTATCCTATTTATCCTATCGGTGTCGATTCCGGCCTCTTTCGCGCACTTTTTGTACCCCGAGGGAAGGGGGGGGGTAATGTCCATGACTCAAAAATCATTGTCAACACGCCAACCCGAAGTGCCTTCCGTGGCATGGAGTAACGTGTGCGTGCCGCACAGAACTCCCCGCACGGCTCCCTCGCTCACCTGGCAGCAATGGGAGCAGACCTCGACGTGCGTCGTCTCCTCGTAGTAGCAGAAGTCTCCAGGACAGGAGGCGTTGGAGCAGTCCAGTCCGAAGAACCCGTCGTGGCACGAGCAGGAACCGTAGCTGCAGTCGCCGTGGAAGGAGCAGTTGGAGGCGCACTCCGACATCCCCAGCACCCTACCAAAGCAGCCATGGTCGAGGCGGAGACGGGTGATGGGTCTCGTTGTGTGTTGACAGAGAGAGAGAGAGAGGGCGGGGGGGGAGACAAGCTTTGGAGCAACTGCAAAGAGGTGGGTGGGGGCGGGAGTCGGGATGGAGGTGGTGGGGGGGTCGCGACAGCCTTGTTGGGAGAGGGGGAGGGTTACAACCAGGCAGAGCATCGCGAGGTGTTTGGCCGGTGGCATGAAGGAGGGAGTTATTTGCATCCTACTACTCGTTTTATACTCGAGTAGGAAGGAAAGAGGTGTCATGGTATTTGGACCGTTGGGCTGAGATACCTTCTGGGCGGGTATATCTTGTAGAATTACACCGACTACCTGCCTAGATTCCCGGCATTCCGATATAAGGCAAGTAGCGCCCAACAACACAGTATTCCTACTTTTGCCGTGGTATAATCCTATCAATAGCAGTTACGTTTTAAGACTTTCTGGTTCAACAACTTCGGGGAGGGGTGCTTCGCATTCCCATCCGAGAGTTAGGGTCAACTCGGCAAGAAGAACAAGTGGAGATGTCCGCTAGGCAGAGCTGCACCCACCAGAAGTCGCTCAGTACCGAGGTGGCGGTGGTGATGTTGACGGAAGGCGTCTGCCAGTCGCTGTAGCCCTGACCCCCGTACATGAGCACCATCGCGTGCTTCTTAGAGTACACCGCCTTCTCTCGGAACAATTTTTCGCCGGACGGTTGCAAGAACTAGTCAGCATGGGGATACATACAACCGCCTTCACAAGACAGAGCAGAATGGAGAATGAAAATATGTTTGGCAACGATATGGCGAAGACCAGAAGGAATGGGACAGGAGACGCCCGGGTAGGTGCCATCGATGGTCTCACTAGTACCATATTTTCGGCTTTTTGTCTTTCGAGGAGGTCGGGGAATTTAACGTTTTGAGGAGGGCACGTAGGCGACGAGGCAGGTTCGTGTGGAGATATTTTGTCATCGGTGGCGCAGAGCTAGGGGGGGAAGCGGGCTTCAGGTTCCATAGATTGATAGGGACGGTCTTCACCATGAAAGGTAAGATGAGAGTACCACACTCAAAGCTAGTAGTACCACATGAGATAATGACCGTACTGTCAGCTTTCCTAACATCGATTACCATACGGAATCAGAAGGAAAATTAATTTTGGCAGATATCTATCTATCTTTGGGGGGGGGCTGTCGGGAAGATGGCCGTGTGTACCTCAGTGGCTGCCCTGATACCTTGCGTCTTCTCGCTAAACAGTTCTCATCGCGTGGTGTGTAGGACAGTTTTTTTTTATATTTACTGTTGTGCTGTACAGATCGCACCACAACGAACTGCTGAACTTCGAAGTTGAGAAAGGGTTCGATTTTCACGAAGTTTAGGAACTAGAACCCTACCCACACCAAAAACCTATGTATTCCCTGTCGGTTTCCCCACTGACGAGATATCGAGCGACGGTTGCTCAACGATTTTTTGAAAGTGGTGGCGTGGTGTGTATTCATAGACGAGGTTATCATGATGTTTTCCCACCTGGGCGTCTGAGCGGTGCCCCGGGTGTTCCCACATTAGACCTTGGTCAAGGTCCGTCCGGCCGTCCTCTCTGTCGCGACACCCGTCCCAACCGGGGGCTTGCCTCCTGGGCTGCGAGACAAAGACCGGGCTGTCGCTTCGTCCGAATAGACCGTCAAGAGTTGTGTCCCTTCGGTGCAAGGACAAGGCGAATTAGTGCCGAAGGATAAGTGTCAGAATAGGTCTACCATGAGTTTCCTAGATATAGCGGAGGAGGTGTGGTAAGATGTCAATCAACAGGTCCCATGAACGACGATTGTCGAACCGCTCGTCCAATCAGGAAGGGTTCGTTACCACACGGGGGAGGAAAAATTCGATTCAACGAACCCGATGTTTAATTATTGCTGTAAATAGTTGTTTGACAACCGGTCAGAGTGGTCATGTACAAGTGAATCGACGGATACAGCTCGCCTCTCTCCTGCTGTCTTCTTTCTGCACAGGAGTCGAGCCTTGAAAACAGGTCAAGGGGGGTTGTGGCATCTCATGCATCCTACAGCATTGTGCGTGTTTGCGATGCGTACCTCGTGGGCTCCCCCAGGACGCTGGTGCACCACTCGTACAGGACCGCGCTGTGGGTGTCATTAAAGGCGTGGACGTAACGCCGCACGTGCTGCCTCGGGGCGGTGGCCATGTAGGGGGGTAGGGGCGACCCGACCGAGAACAGTGCTTCTCTGTTGTCGGTTTCCGTTTGGATGGAAATGTCGATTGTTTTTCAGGAGAGAGGGGGCGTGTTTGGGATTGGAGAGACGCGGTTATTGAGAATAACAATGGCTGCATCAGCAACCAAACAAACCATCAGCAGCAGCAAACACAACAAATGAAACCAGCAGCAACAACAGCAACATTTCATCTGAGGGGCAATATACCGTCGAATGATTGAAGACAGACCGCCGATGGGCTCTCAAGAATACATCAAACAACGGGAGGTTTCGCTCGTCTAGATTATCCGCCGAGAACGAAAGCTGGAGCAATCTGCATCCCGGCCTCTCCACGTCAACGCCACGGGGAGTAGCAAAATAGTTCCTTCCTCTTCCTATGCATATGCATACAGTAGCACAAGACGCCATGTGCTACGGTTGCACGCCCAACGATTCTCCCTGCTCTTCTCCTCTAGATGCACCGAAGTCGCGACGAGAACCGTGTAATACCTCCTGTGTGCTTGCTTTCGCGTGTTTGCGTGCGTTCGTGTTCGCATTTATTGTTAGAATCGACGCGCCACAATAAGAGGCTGGGCAACGAAAAAGACGCCAGTCTCAGTGTCTCAAAACGGAAAGCCTTCCAAAGGCGCATGATTTGGAGCCCCGTGAGGGCGTGGTGTGTGTGTGTGCGTGCACGTGCGCGTGGGGAGTCGTCACCTGGATCCTATGTCTCCCTTGGTATGAACGCCGTAGTATCTCGCGAACTCTCCGTCGGGGTAGTAGTTTGGCTGCTCCGCGTAAGGGAGGACGTCCCAGGGGGAGTCCTGGTCCCTTTCGAGATCCTGGTAGGAAGGCCAAAAGGCGACATGTGTACAACATGTACGTGGTGATGATTAAGTCCAAAAGGCGATTCCGTTGTATGTATGTGGCGGTGGTTGTTTCCTCGGAAATGCTGTACGTACGGCGGTATGATTCTTTCGTTTTTTTGAGGTACGAAACGACTTTGGCGGAGGAGGCGGTCAAGCAAAGAGATGGCGGTAAACCGGCGGTAAACCGGCGGCTTGCCGGGTACCGCCCACCAGGGCGGTATTTTCATGGCGGGAACATTACCGACACGACCGTTATAAAAGAAAAAGACTCCGGCGCCGACGTAACCAGTAGTCTACAGTTAGGTGGCGTTCTTTCGGGCTTGGATGTCGAAGGGATGGTTCTAGCTACTAGTGCTCACCAGGTAGCCGGTACAGTTTTTGTCTGCCACAGTAGCTGCTGAAAACTTGCAAGTCCTACGTCCGCACAATCGCTAGTTGCTGCAAGTTGATCTTGTGAAGCTTGCGCTACACCCGGTATTGTATTCAACCGTTAGCTAGTAATCGAAATTCAGCGTTGGTAGGTTGATAGAAACAGAGACAAATTGCTTTTCGCATACGTTGGGCCAGAGAAGCTCGGTGCAGTTATTCTCTTCGATGTAGAGAAGGTCGTCGGTGCAGTTGGCCGGGTACACCGCGTGTACGTGGCTGGATTTCTCCAGCCAGTAGCTGCACCCGTCAATTGGCCACACAAAGAAAGTACAAAAAACGGCCGCGATGACGACGACGACGACCGCAGTATGCAAGCGAACAAAGGGCGCAGGAATTGTCAGAGAAGGCTGCCGGAAACGTCGCAAGCCGAACGGAAACGAAAGACAACAGAATGCCACCAAGGGTCTCCAATGGAAACAATGACCGGTGATTTGCCGGAAGTGGTGCTAGCAAACCACACACACCGAACGCGAACGAAGAAGACGGGCATGCAGGCTTCCTGTGGTCGATCTATCACGAACAACTCCAGAACAACCACCAAGTAGATCATAGATCATAGAACGCAGCCTTTAGATAGATGTGACTGCGAGGAAAGGTAAACTAAACACGACTGTCATGCCTACCCGGTGAGGAAAAAAAAGTAGAAACAAATGCGTGCGCGTACGGCCACGCGTGCCCACAATAAGCAGCAGCAGCGTCAGCAGTAGTTCTAGCGATGACAACCGATCACGGTCAGGCGCGTTGCGCACAAGTAGTTTGTGAACATTTCTGTCACACGCTTCCGCCAAAAATGCCCTACGTACCGCGCAAGTATACCACATCAACGCAAGGCCACAAAGAAGACACATCCTCCGTTGCTAATGTGTGTGTGTACGCGGCACGAGCCGGACGGCAAACAAACGGCGACGGCAAGGTACGAGCGGGGGTCTTCGAGAAAAAGACGCCGGGTGTATTACTCTCTCTCTCTGTCTCTCTCTGCCTCTCTCTGTCTCTCTCTGCCTCTCTCTCTCCCTCTCCCTCGCCTGGTAGTGGTGTTGAAGAACCACGTGTCGTCGTAGTGGTGGTTGAAGTAGAATCCCCCGAATACGACGAGGATGTGGTCGACCATGACCATCATGTGGTTCATGCGTGGGGTCGGCTGGGTAGGGCTCGTCGCAGTGATCTGTCATACACGCGGCGGTTTCATTCCGTATTGTACCGTACCGTGCCATGCAAGATGTGGGTGGGAAGAGAAAAACAGGAATGCGGTATATGCGTGAGGTCGACTCGGCAGGGCTTGTCGCAGCCATCGGTTGTACACGGAACGGTTGCCGTTTCGTATCGTACCGATCAATCAAGATGTTAGATGAGTCGAAAGACGGGAAAGGACGTGAATGTACCTGGGGTCGGCTCGGAAAAGAGGAGAATACAAGACAAAACGAGAAGAACAACGTACCGGAGGGCGTCGGGATCTCAAAAGGATGCCACGTCGCTCCCTCTGTCCCCGAGCAAACCGTTTTCACATCGTCCCAAAGAGTAGCTTCCTCTTCGCGCATCCTTTTCCCAACGGTCGGCAGTCATAGTACATACCATACACAGCGAGTAGCACCGATACTCAGACACCGGAAAAATGCGAATCGTCGAACTCTCGCACACACCCCAGCCCAAAGGTTCGTAGCGCGGTTGCTCCACAGCCAAGAGGACGCGCCAGTGCCGAAAACCGCGGCGATGGAAAAGATCTCGGCGACAGAGAGATTTTTCCTTTCACGTTTCTCTGTTGTTGTCAATCACTCGGTTTGCGTACGTACCCTTTTGGTTGTGCATCATCAGCCGAGTCTCGACGGCCAGTCTACAAGCAGGGGGCGGCGTACACCAACCAAAACTCGCACGTATCACGGTAGGCAGTGATCGCCACCCTTACCTCGCCCCACTGCCCGGAAGAGGTGTTGAAGAACCACATGTCGGACAAGAAGTACGGGTAGTCTGGGTACGGGCGAAATCCTCCGCGTCCCAACGCCTGAGTTGTGAGCGGTGTCATCACACGTGGTTGGATCTAGTTCGTTGGATTCTGACCATCATCATCCGCCCCCCGGATCCCGCCCCCACCCCGCCCCCTGGCGAAAGGTCGAGAATTGTAAAGGTAGACATCTCTGCTGATTACTTCGCATGTTTTTTATTCCTCACGGTCCCTGGCCGTCCAACCTATACTACCCACGGACTAGTTTGCTCTGGCTTGGAACATCTGAAAGTGGAAGGTTTGGTCAGGTAATGCCGTCAGACCCGAAACTAGGCACGAACTAAAAGCTCATAAATGACCAACACTTTTTATCTTTGTTTCCGCACTCTTTGGTTAGCCAGTCAGACAGCCCCACCGTAGTTCCGTAGTCCGACCCTGCTCCGTCAGAACTGATGTAGGGGAAAAACGTCGTGTAACCGCCATGCAGCCACATGCCCCCCCTGTCCTCGTCCCAGACCGCCGCGTGTCCAGCCCTTCAGTAAGAGAAGAAAATACGTTTTTCTTTTAGATTTTGAAAAGTTGAGGGCCAGACTCCTGGTGGTCGGAACATACTCCGCTAGCTGCTCACGCAAGGCACAACAATACCTGGCCGTTCGTCGGGAATTGTTCTGAGTAGTTGGCATGTGACCATGGAAGGAGTCCACGTCAGTTGGGCCGGCGTTGGAAGGTGCTGAGCATAGACCGGAACGGTTTTTTTGTGTCAAGATGGCAACAACAACGACAGCAACAGCAACATCGACAATAGCAACAACGCGGGCGAACCGCCGACCTTCGGCAACATTGTAACCAAGTTTTACAGCAGAACAATAAATTTGTTGATTTGTGTGTTCGTCTTGTTCCCGCCGTTGTGAGGTCCAACTACAGGTCGACTCATCCCTGTCGGCGTTCCCCATTTCGCAAGGCGTTCTCGCAAAGGGACGTTTTTGTCGACGGAGAGGCTGCTCATATATGTTGAGAGTACATTCAGGATCGCTCACGTGCCTTGAGGCTGCTGAGCGCATCGCGCCTTCTCCAATGGTCAGCCCAATGTTAATTAGCCTGCTGTTTGGCCCCAAAGTGTGTCGCAAGAGCGCTAAAGCTCGAGCTGCGCAAGAACTCGCCTGCCCTGAGGCCACCGAATGTCACAAGATATGTCGTTCCTCTCTTCCCACGCCAGGCCTGGATCGGCGACGCAGGACTCCTTTGGGGCGATCTTGGTCCAGTTGCCGTAGGCGGATGAATCGGTCGGCACCTGTCGTCAATGGTTGTCGTCGTCGTCAATATTGTTGCTGTTGGTGGTGGTGGGTTTGGTGATGGCAGTGGCAGCGACGGCGGTGGTGGAAATCGGCGTCGTCATCGCCATCGTCATCACCACTCGCTGTTGAGTGCAAACGGCAACCAAACGCCAAGAAACAGTACCAGGCAAGAACTCAAAACAAAAAGGCGGGTTTGATGCGCGTACATTTGCTGTGTTTAAGAACAAGCTAAGCCCACAGGTGCCGCTCGACCAACTCGCCGTAACGACCTCATCTAAAAAAAAAAAAAAAAACCGACGAAACGGTGCTTGGTTCTGTATACTCTCTTACACTCGACAGCTAGTCATATCAAGCGACACCGTCGCTTCCAAGCGAAACCGTCGTTGCGTACAAGATAAACATACTGTGTACCTGCTCGTCTTCTGCGAGCTGTTTCTTCGTGTACACCCAGAGGTCCTGCAGGTAGCCCCCCTCGGGGTACTCGGCGAAGCTGGACCACGAGTTGGCCTCCGAGTTGTCCGTCGCGAAGCCGTGCCAGAGACGGTGACCCCCGAAGACCATCATCGACAGGCCGTCGTAGGCCACCGAGAACTTCCAACGCTTGCCCGGGCCCTCTCCTGTGTGGCCGTCAGTTTCGTTTTTTGGCGTTTGGTGGTTGGTGTAGTGTGTCTGTCGAAGGTCGTGATCATTCGGTGTGTGTGCGTGGCGTGTGTGTCGATGTGTTTTCCGATCCAACGGACGGCGCGGAAATAGCGGCTCCTCCTCGGTTTCGTTACGAGTAGTCTCTGGTCTGGATACGTGTCGTGTTCGTGGTATTTTCGTTGTTGTCGTTTCTGCAGTCGTTGTTGTCATCGTTGATGTTGTTGGTGTTCATGTTTCGAAATACAGGTGTGGGTGTACGACGAAACGCAACTGGCGGTCTAGCGACATTTCATATTCCGTCTACCACAGGTGCAAACACTAAGGTACCCAAACAGAAGCAGGGTTGAGGTGTGGCTCGGAGTGCTCTCCCAAATGACCTCTCATCCAATCTCCCAAACAGATGCTGGACGCAGCTTGGCTGCCGCATTGGGGGTAATCACACTTGTTCAAATCTCCGCCTCCAGCAAAACGTCTCAACGGATGTATATCTTTGCCGATCACACAGCTCGGAACACGTCAAACCTTCGGCGAAGTGGCCCAACGGATAAATTTCCATCCAAGAGTTGTCCCGCAGGTCGAACGACCAAACGTCGTCGCAGTAGTCCCCGCACCGCTGGCTGTACCCGCCGTAGACGATCATCGTGTTGTCGTCGAACATGGCCGCTCCCTGCCTCCACCGCTCGCTTGGGACCTGTCGCCGTTGGCGCGGCGGGGGGGAAAACGATAGATTAGCTAGTGGAGGTGGAAGGCGAGATAGTCCACCATTTTCGGACGAGCAGGGGGGGGGCAGGAGCAAGTACCGCCGCAGTCAGCGAGGTCGGGGTCACCGCGGATGGTGAGTTGACGTTTGTCGTGTCGCCTGACACGAGGGTTCCTTTTCCGGCGGCAAGGCGATTGCGGCGGGCGAGCCCCGACCTACGCACGCAATGATTGCGTGGAACGCACCCAAGAGGGAAATATTTGGACCAGAAATGAAGAAAGGGACCAAAGAAAGAGAGAGGGAGAGAGACGGGGAGACGGAGAGACGAAGAGGGAGAGGGAGAAAGAGACAGAGAGACAGAAAGAGAGAGAGCGAGAGAGAGAGGGAGAAAGAGAGACAGACAGAGCGCCCAACATGGTAGAGGGGTCGTCAGAAGGAAGGGGTACTGCAGAAGAAGAGGTTCTGGCGAGGGCGGAGGGGGCTCGCAACATCACCACTCCTGCTGCACCCGGGCACGCGTACGTGATATTGCACCGCCACATTTCTGCCATGCATGAAGCGCTGATTGACTCCAGTGCTTCGCCTTACCCCGCATATCTCCGTCCCCCTGACGTACTCGCACGCGCCGTGCCTGGCTCCCTCGTGGAGGACATTCCAACCGGTGCCTTCGCATGGTCCATCCGCGTACCTGCACGGTTTGTTCCCGACCAACACATCAGTTCGTGTTGATGCGTGTTGAATCAATCACCACAAGGTTGTGCGGTAATATGGGCGAACGAATCAAGACTGATGCTCTGAAGGCTAAATCGCTATGCCAGACACGTCGTCGAAGTCGAAGCCACAACAAGCTATCGGTAACCGTGGTAGTGGTGCTTAGCAGAGGGGCACGCGTTGGTCCATGCGGGGCGTGCTCTCACTCTGATAGAACACGGGAGACGCTCAACGCAGCGCATACATCCGCTTCATCCCGACACTACACAGGACGAGGGCCCACCTTGTACAATTGAGATCGTACTCCCACACGTCATTGTAGTACAACCCCACGGCCACGGTAGTGCTACAAGTCTCCCCGGTGCTGTTGGTGCTTCCGTTGCTGCTGATGGAAACGCTGCTGCTGGCGGAGCTATCGAAGGTAACGTTGTTCTCCAACGCGTTTTCCTGACACTCCAGGACTATTTTCTCGTCGTAGCTCACGAACTCTAGAGTGCCGTCCTGTCGAGTGACCTGTCATGTATTGATGTCTCGTCGTCATCAAAATAGCTTGCTGCCGCTCGTCATTAAAAAAATCTGCCGCCAGTCTAATGCAATAGAAGAGCTCCGATAGCAAGACGGGTGCGGGCGGGGTTTTGAAACAAATGCAAAGGTTACCCGAACAAGCACGTGTCGTCAGCATACGGACAGCCACAGCATGAACGTGTACGCGGTTTCCGCGAGCACCAAAGCAACGAGGGCGTCTCTCATGAGCGAAACGGTCCGCTATCCGAGTGCAGCGCGCCGGAGTTTGACCAACACAGCACTTCGTGGAGACAGGAGGCTGTATGTCAGTACGGATGCATGTCTACAGCGCAACAAAAAGTGCGTACCTGATGTTGCATCGTACAGGCACGCCTGCTTACACTTGAGAAAACACTAACCACAGCATACAGCAGTTTAAGGCAGCAAATGTAGACTGTTGGACTGACCGCATTTTACTGGAGTGTGATCGGAGTTTGCCCACCTCGTATGTCCTAGGGATGTGCTGCCGCACGATCTCGTTGTCCCTCCCACCGAACATGATCACGCGGCTGTCGTTTCCAGCTAAAACCATGCTGTGCCCGATACGCCCCCCTGGGCCACCATCCCCGGATACCTCATCCCTTCCAAAGACGAACCATGGCAGCAGGAAAGTCCGTGTGGAGGAATGAGATGAACCTCCAGATGGATCGCGTTTGGGGTGCGTGCACAGCCGGCCATGTCACAGGAAGAACTCGACCAATTTTCAATGGAGAAGTTATTGTAGCGTTGTTGGGACGGCATTTACCGCGGCCTGCTGTAGGTTGCATATGCTACGGTGGGTACGTACATACCGTATCTTTATTAGGTAGACTACTATGTACATGTAGTCTAGCTGAAATAACTCTCCAACGTCCTTGAATGGAGAAAACGATCCCTATTGTGAATGGTACGTGACTCTCTCCTTTCATCCCCACAGATGTCAGCTATAGCTTTGTACCGGTGACGTTCTACTGTGTGAGGGTGTGTTATCTTGAAGCTGCGGCAAATAATATCGTCGCCAATCCAAGTTGGCCGATCAGTCGGTTTTAGGCACATGGATGCTGATCTCCTCCTTGGTCCAAAACTCAACAAACCTCTCAGTTATACAATAAGGTAGAGCAAAATCTCATGGCTGAGACTCATGTTTTGATGATCCACACACTGAATACTGCCTGTGCATTGGCGCTTGGGACGGTGGTTTGGTCCATAGCCTACCTGCTGTGTGCTCTTGCACTCTGCTGAGGTCAGTCGACTGGTCTACACGTACAATATTCTAGTTGTCTGCAGCGTCTACTCTCACCCGCCGTTTGTCCACATCCGCCAACCGTCGGCGCTCGGCACGAAGTTGGTGAGCACCAACGCCGCCGCGGCTACGGCTGCCGATGCACCAACAGCACGAAATCTTCCACTTCTTCCTCGACCGTTGAGGATCTTTGGCGTGGTCCATGTCTCGGTCTTTGGAATCGGCGGATCTCTCGGCGGCACCTCCTTTCGAGACGCCATCTCCACTCCCCACCCCTTCACTGCCCGTTCGTTCGGGTTGTTGAGAGCGAAACTCCTTGTTTCGGCCCTGCTCAGTGCTGTGGACTAGCGCTCGCCTGGGCTGTGGGGGAGGGCCGCCCGCCGTTGGAAGATCTTCAGATTGGACGCACCGGAGTTATGTGCGGAGCCCCCTTGGGATGCCTCTTTACTGCTAAAATACAGTCTGCGCGGCTCCCCCCACAAAGCAGCTGTAGAGAGCGCGGCCTGGAGAAGCAACCCACTTTGAAGCCCCAGCACGCGCCCTGAGCGGGGGGCGGCGGCTGTGGGGGCTATATTTGGTGTCAGCGCTGGTGCCGGCTGGTATCGACTGGAAAGAGGGAGAGAGATACATAGAGCGAGAGAGAGAGAGTGAGAGTAGGCTTCAAGGAACTCTCGAGGATCTCGCTCCTCTCTTTTCGAAAAGAACTTGCACGCGAGAAGGTAGCAGCTGCTCGCCAAGGTACATTGTACAAGGGAGGGAAAGAGAGCGACGGAGGCGGGTGCTGTGACTTCGGCACCCAGCACCTCATGTCGGTGTCTCAAGCGCGGCAGCAGGTGAGCTCGAGCCTTCGGGTGTCCGCGGCCGGTAGCAGTCGGGGTTAGAGAGACAGTTCCCAACCGGCAGCAACAGGTGCAGGTCGGTCTGGTACCCTCCGGTTGAACTCTCAGGTGAATTTTTTCATCGCATGTTGTCGCACACTCCATGACCGCGCATCGCGGCAGCCTTGGTATTGCTTGCCCAGTTTCAGCGAGAAACTACGCGTACTCACGGAAAGGGAGGGGGTCGAACCCACCACGATTAGCCCCTGCGGCTGTACCAGACATGTTCTGCTTTGAGACGCCGCCGACTCCTTCACTACTGCTCCGAGACGCCTAGAGTTGCGGAATAACCCTGCTGTACATGACAAAATCACACGAGAAACGTGTATGTATGTAAACGGGCGTTTGATGACGCGTGTCAAGCGGTTGCGGGCCGCCTAGCCCACATGTGACATTGACCTTGGATACCGAGATGTGCGATTGAGAGAGCTGATGCGGCTGGGAGAACCACGCGTAGACTATTGCAGGCGCCCTGTGTGGTTCGGTGGAGTTTCGGGCGGGTGGGCAGGCGCACGCGGCAATGGGTAAACATATCGAAATCCGAAAACACTTGCCGCTGCCCTCGATGACAGACACGCTGAGGTTTAGGAGTAGCGACTTCATGGCTTCATCCGTACAAAGCTGTGCACATGTAGATACATCAGTTGGTTATCATGTGGTGTGATTCATCTTGTTCAATGGCTCTCTCTCTTGTCCTGGGCTCTCTGCTTGCCCCAGATCCCAGTACCAGATTGCTCTCAAATAGCCAATCCAGTTTCAATATCCCTGTGGGCGTACGAAATCCAACATACACCACACCACACCACATTTTTTTCCCGGTTCAGTTCGGTCGCAAATGGGTGCTTCAACTATTGCTAGCGGTTGGTTGTTACTCCGCGACCATACACTACGCTAAACACCAGACCCAGGTCGTTGATATTTGGTTGAAGTTTTGGTTTCGGGATGATGCCCGGCTGACGAACGGAAGCAAAGAGCCGTTGCAACCTACCCCGAGTACAGTTGTTGTTGTTGTTGTTGTTGTTGTTGTTGTCTTCACATTACAGTGGGATGTAATGAAACACCGCGTGACTGCTGTAGCGCGGTATACATAGTATACAGGATGTGTATCTCGAAGCTCCGCCTTGAAGATGGCGTGGATCCACCCCCTGTCAAAGGTCAAAGGCGCCCTTGCTTCTTACGGAACACTTGAAAATAGCTCTTACGGCCGAGAGCGGGCTTCTTTGTTTCACCTCTGGGGTGTATCCCAATATCGACCCCAGATGGTTTTTCTGGTTTCTCCTTATGGTCAAGTTGTTATGCGTAATGCTCACTCTCGTCAGTTGTCAATTTTCTGCAAGTGGTGGCGTTCTGCTGCTATTAATACTGCTACACTGAGGGCGGGTCGCCCTACCGTGATTTGGAGGCGCTGTGCTGGCTCCATCCAGCAACAGCGGTAACGGCAGCAGCAGTACCATGCCTTGCCTTGTCAAAGTGACGGGGGTGCTGGGGCACGACCACTACCTGTCGTGCTTGATGGCGTCGATGTCTACCCGCTACTCTGCCTGTTTTAGTGTGACTTATTATAGGAGCCAAATCAAACCGTAGACTATTTAGTCAGCGCTGACTATATAACGGTCTCTACCGGTTTGATTTCGGCTTCGTAAGGCTGGTACAATCGATTCGATCCCTGTGCTATTCAACTGTCTCACCTTTTGCTGGTGCTCTCTCATCGTGTGGTACACTTTTTAGGGTTGTTGAAGGACGATAGACCGACTTTCCAGGAGAGGATGTATACGGTAGGCAATTCGCATGTATGTGCCGCCAGTCAGTGTTGAAATACGAACATGAAAGAAAACACTTGCTAGATGTGGACTCATTAGAATTGCCTCCATCTACTTGCCGCAACAAGGAGGGGAATGATGTACGGTAGTTTTTTTTTTTGTTCGTGACAAGGGGCAGCAGGAGCTCACTGCGTTCCGCTTCCAAAAGTGCCGATGCACGACCCCAAGCTACTCTGCTTTGACAGAACCTCTACATCGGCATTTGCAGCGACCTGCTTGATAAGATGACTTTAACGTTCTGCACCCCGTACAGCAGTGGCACAATGTGTAGGGCCGAGGTGGAGCAACTGCCACTTCTTGTGTCCATCGACTCCTCCCAAATCGCCGCCTACAGCAGCAGCAGTATATTGTAGTTGTGTCATTTTTGTTGTCTGCGCGTTTGAGACAGCTGGTCTCTGCTGCAGCACCTTCGACCATCCTTACCGATCTATCGGACGCGCATGTCTTCCGTGGTCACGGGCCAACTGCCCAAGAAAGGGCACACACTTCTAGAACTACAGAGAGGAAAATACCTGTTACTAAATAGTGGGCCCAGCAAGTCATCAAACACAGCAGTAGCAGTAGCATCTTGGATTTTTTCGAATGTTTGTGACCGTGGTTCCCCCCCCCCCCCCTCGCCGGTCTACCCCCCCCCGTCTCAATCGACCACCTGAACATAGGCCAGCAACGGGTCTGGCGCACACTCCGGCAGACGTCGCCGAAGAGGTGGACACGCAGCAACGCCTGCGGCAACGCCGGCTGCTCGACAGCCAACGACCCTGCTGCAACACGCCTCCGGTAGCGGCGGAAAGGCAGCGGCCGGCGATGGCGGTGGGCGCGGCGGTGGCGGCGGCGGTGGGCGAGGCGGCGGGCGCAGAACGATCTGGGCCGAGAATACAGCAACAGCGCCAGGACCAGCAGGAACCGCGGCGGCGGCAGCGGCGGCCGCGGGGCGCTCGCATAAGGTGTCCACAACACCCACTGCCGTACGCAGCGGCGGCAGCAGCAGCCAGGTTTCCAAAGGCAAGAATGGAGGCGGTCGGAGAAAGGGCGGGGCCGGTGGTGGCGACGTTAAGGCGGCGGTGGTACTGACGGCAGTCCCGGCGCCGGCGCCAGTTGCCGGTAACGGCTTCGGCGGTGGCGCTGTGCGGAAAGTTCACCCCGGAATGCTGGAGAGCGAGTTCTTGGCGGCGACGGAGCAGGCCAACGGAGGGGTCGAGGGCGGTGTGGTCTCGTTGAGCCTAGAGGAGGTGCCGTACGACAGGGATCTCAGGTGAGGGCTTGGTTTTTTTGTCCCACCGGGCGGTGGCGAGTTCTGACTCTTTCCGCCGCGGGCCCGCGGGTCTATCAAAAAGAGATGCTGAGGAGAGACGTTGAGGAATGTTCTGGGGGTCCGCTAATGATGCGCCGCCAGTGCTGCAGAGTTTGGTGTTCTCGAGCACGGGTAATGGATATCACTTCTGTTTTTGTTTTTTTTCTTACAATATATAGTATCCAAAATTGTTATGTTTTTTCAACATGTGTATTTCCTGGTCCTTCATGGCAACATGATTGTGCTTATCCGGGACGTTCTGAACACCAAGTCGTGGCCGCACGTGCTCGGAACACGTGTTGCTGCCGTCCCACCCGCCAGACGTCACCAGCCTCTACCCCGCCCAGTACATTTACGCGCACCTCCCGGGTGCACACAAGAGACCGTTCAATCAGGTATTTGTAGCGGCCTCGGCTTGACCCTCCCCCTCCCCCCCCCATCGCTATTTCCGCAACAGGTGGTGCAACACCGCCTCGGACTCCAGGCCCCGCCCAAAGATGGACCCCCAGGGAGGCGTGTTCGGGCGCGTCGGGACGGCGATAACCCACGACACCGGCGACTACGAACGCCTCGACAGGCACTACCAGGAGCTCTGGAAAGACCGCGAAGAGAACGGCCCGCCCCCCGCCGGCGGTCCCCGCGGTGGCAACAGCGGCCGCGGCGGCGGAGGCGGCAGCGGCACAGGAAGGGGTCCCTCACGTGGCGGTAACGGCAGCCGCGCGCGAGGGGGGCGGGGCGGGGGGCCCGGGGGTGGTCGAACCGCCTACGGTCCTCGCGGTGGCGGATTTCTGACGG